CAAGGATTCCCAATCAGCTGCTGGTGAGGAACGGCCTCCTGAAGCAGATGGCAAAAAGGGCACCTCCTCTGGCAGCGAACCGCCCCCTCTCAAGACCGCCTGGGCAGAGACCTCTCGGCCTGCAGAGACAGAGCCAGGGCCTCCTGCCCCAAAGYCTCCCCCACCCCCACCTCACCGGGGCCCCACCGGGAACTGGGGGCCCCCTGGGGACTACCCAGTGAGTGTCTACAATGAGGGTTGAAAAGGGTTAAATTGTGGGAGGTATCAGCTGAGTAATTGAAGCAGTAATAATGGAGGAAACGGAAGGGAAGTCTGAAAAAGGACTCTGTGAAGTTGAGGGTAATGGAGAATCTCTGGAAAGCTTGAGAAAATCCTGGGGAGTCTGGGAGAAAAATTGGGCTGCTAGTAAGGAAAAACAAGACCCCTGAATGCTTAGGTCTCCAAAGAAGAAAAGGAATGGGGGAAAAAAAGTGATTAGATTTGTTTCCACCCACAAAGGCCATTGACCCTGAGGCCTGACCCTGGCATCCTTTAATTGATTGTTCTGCTAAAGAGATGATAGAAAGGGCTGGGGATGTGGCTCAAATGGTAGCGTGCTCGCCTAGCATGTGTGAGGTGCTGGGTTCGATTCTCGGCACCACATAAAAATAAAAGATATTGTGTCCATCTAAAACTAAAAAATTAATATTAAAAAAAAAGAGAGATGATAGAAAGCCTAATGACTGACACCCCTGGCCTGCTGGGTCTGCCCATTGACAGGATCGTGGGGGTCCTCCCTGCAAACCCCCAGCACCTGAAGATGAGGATGAGGCATGGCGGCAGCGGCGAAAGCAGTCTTCATCTGAAATCTCCCTGGCAGTGGAGCGGGCCCGCCGTAGGCGAGAAGAGGAGGAGCGGCGCATGCAGGAAGAGCGCCGGGCAGCCTGTGCTGAGAAGCTCAAGCGACTGGATGAAAAGTTTGGGGCACCTGACAAACGGCTCAAAGCAGAGCCTGCTGCCCCACCTGCTGCCCCACCTGCCCCAGCTCCACCACCTGCAGGACCCAAAGAACTCCCTGCAAGTCCAGCTCCACCGCCGGCACCAGCCACAACACCAGAGAAAGAACCTGAAGAGCCAGCACAGGCCCCTCCTGCTCAGTCCACCCCCAGTCCAGGTGTGGTTCCAGTTCCCACTCTAGTGAGTGGTGGTGGCACTACCAGTAGCACCAGCAGTGGCAGCTTTGAAGCTAGCCCAGGTATGGAAAAGAGGATAGGTACTGCTAAGATCTTAAGGGTGCAGGGTAGTAGGGATGGAAGTGAAGTAGAAGTTATTTGTTTTGGTTTGTTTGTGTATGAGTGGTGGGGGGAAGTCCCATCATTTGCTCATCTATGAAAGGGAAAGCTCTAAAACTGCTTCTATAAGCCTAGAGTGGAGCAAGATTGAAGAAAGTTGTTTGGGTGATTTCATAGGCCATTAATAGCAGCAGTAGTGGCTCTTGAGGCCATAGTTTGTTTTTATGGGTTTTACATGGGATGGGCTTCAATACAGTGGGATTCGGTTGAATACCTCAGTCTCTGGAGAGAGCGAGCTACGTGAGTTGGCTGGAATTTCAGATCTTTTCTTGGACGGTCCTATTGCACTAGGTTACTCTGTTCTTTTCTCCAATGCAGTGGAACCACAACTGCCTTCAAAAGAGGGTCCTGAACCACCAGAAGAGATTCCTCCACCTACCACACCCCCAGCCCCAAAGGTGGAACCCAAGGGTGATGGGGTGGGTCCTAMCCGACAGCCCCCCAGCCAGGGCTTGGGCTACCCCAAGTATCAGAAGTCATTGCCTCCTCGTTTCCAGCGGCAACAGCAGGAGCAGCTCCTGAAGCAGCAACAGCAGCAGCAATGGCAGCAGCATCAACAGGGGTCTGCCCCTCCTGCCCCAGTGCCCCCATCACCACCACAGCCTGTGACCCTGGGGGCTGTGCCAGCTCCGCAGGCTCCACCACCGCCCCCCAAGGCCCTGTACCCAGGTGCTCTGGGCCGGCCCCCACCCATGCCCCCAATGAACTTTGATCCTCGCTGGATGATGATTCCTCCTTATGTGGACCCTCGGCTCCTTCAGGGCCGGCCCCC